GAGTGAATAATAATAGATCAATAATAGATCGATAATAGATAATAATCTATTATTATTCACTCCTGGTATTATCAAGAGCTAATAATTCAATGCTGATAATGTATGTGATATCGGTAATATCAAGAGTAGATAATAACACAAGAGTGAGACACCCGATTCCCGCATTTTTAACCGATTTTTCTCATCAAAATTTGCCACCAATAAAGAAGCAAGTGTATACGTTCCTCAGCTTATTATGACCACTAATCACTCACCTTCGTGGTACTGATATTCGTTTACATATATATTTGCTAGCGTATTGCTGTAAATCGTAATCTTGCACGAGCTGAATTCGATCAATTTACCGCTAAAATGGCGCTATTGTTGTGATCTGTTAAGACAACTTGCGAAGTTGTAGTAGCGCCAATATTTAGCAACGGACGGTTTCCAAATCATTCGTGCCCCGATAAGGTTGAGAGACAATCTAAATTTCGAATTTTGATCTCGTGAGGAACTGCGAGACGGGCTCAGTTATTGTGATCGCAACACAAGAAATTGACATACTATCTTACATAAGTAATAATACAATAATAACAATATTCTCTGTAGTAGTTTGCAGTAAGTATCACATTACGCACGCGCGGGTAATCATGTACATTAAACCCCTATCGGGGCACGAATGATTTGGAAACCGTTCGTTGCTAAATATTGGCGCCACTATAACTTCGCAAGTTGTCTTAACAGGTCACAACAATAGCGCCATTTTAGCGGTAAATTGATCGAATTCAGCTCGTGCACGATTACGATTTACAGCAATACGCTAGCAAATATATGTAAACGAATATCAGTACCACGAAGGAGAGTGATTAGTGGTCATAATAAGCTAAGGAACGTATACACTTGCTTCTTTATTGGTGCCAAATTTTGATGAGAAAAATCGGTTTAAAATGCGGGAATCGGGTGTCTCACTCTTGTGTTATTATCTACTCTTGATAATATACAGTTATAGGTGGTGTGGATAGTGTATAGATGTTTCAGGAAGCTTCATTGACCAGTGATTTGCATGTTTGTAAAGGTTAAAGGATCAATAAAGGTGCTGAAGGAGCAATCCAGTGAGACTACCGAAGGACTGCTAAATGCGTTAAGGTAGTGATTTTTCACTTATATGCATATTGATGAGGCAACATTACTACATTTGCTGGTATCAAGCGCTCAGCATATGTTCATGTTGAAGCAGGAATACGTTGAAATTATACATGTACAATATTTAAAAATGATGTATTGATAATATATAATATAATTTTATTATATTAAGAATATGAATATTTATATTTTATTTTATTAATTACAATTGAAGTAACCATTGTTAATCACAAGTAAAGTGATGCCGCATTTCTCTTGGTTGACTTGCAGGTACACTACAAAACATCTAAACGATGAAAGCACACCGAAACAGATCAAAGTGCTCCTAGCATAGCAGCAGCCACCATTGTCATGGTAACCGTTGTTAGGTAATGTCAGCCTCCGAGTCGGTCGGTCAATGATCCATGAAAAGTCACGTTCATACTAGCGGTGGCCACTGGGCTGCATGTCGAATGCTTGCATGTAGTACTCGTAACATCGTCTGAGACTGCTCAACCTATTGACTTTTTGTCATGAGATCGAAACTTGATAAAGCGCGTGTATCAGAATTTGAATGCAGTTCTTCGGTTCATCTGTAGTCAGGCAGAGCAATTTCTCTAGCTTACAGTATCTGAATTGTCAACTTTACATCGGCGCAAAGATAGCTTTATTGAGTTTTTGGTGTTGTGACCTCACATAGATGAGGTTAATGTAGTCGCACTTACCCCGCCCTCCTCCTTCCGCAGGCTAGCGTCATGGATCAGTACGCGAGGTTGGCCATCGAGGAGATGTCACACAGATGACAGGACACCGGACACCGCGCAGACAGCACGTGACCTTCCATGACCTCTGCGACACTCGGCGACCCCTGTGACGCTCTCCGTGGCGCCGGCGACTTTTGATATCGTCAGCACTTAGCTGTAGATGACTAGATAGCATATCAGTTGATCGCTGCGTCATTTACCAGCCAGCCTCCGCCGCCATGCCTCCGATTCGTGTGCTGAATGTCACACAGTGGTGGATAAGGGGCGGTCGCGCGGTGGGTAGGGGGCATTCACGCGGTGGGTAGGGGGCGGTCACGCGGTGGGTAGGGGGGCGGTTGCGCGGTGGAGCAGGGTGATCAGTCACTCCTCTGGAAAATGTTCCCTCACAGCATTCAGGAAGCATTCATCAGTTCCCGCCTTTTGTGTGCTAATGTGTCTGTAACCTGTGATGTGCTGGTTGTACATGTAAACAGGGCCGTACTGGGATCGCTATCCTCGGAAGTTCACCAGGGATTATTCAACAGTTCTCATCTCTCGTGTGGCAGTCACGTATAGCTTTTTACTTCTATACTGTGTGTGCGTGTGGCAAATAGCACGTACAGGTTTGCTTTCTTACCGACCAACCTCCTCGATCAAATTTTTGCGTCGGCTGACGGTTAAGAAGTGATTTAATGGCAATCTGACGTATGCGGGTAAACAGCAGCATCTAACTAGCAGGTTGTCGTGCTAGATGATATTGCTCTGCGAGACTACCAAGTTACTGTCAGTGTCTTATACGCGCAGTATGCACCACCGCGTGGCAGCAGCAGCACCGTATGTGCACGGCCAGTGCGCATGCACACTGTGATGCTGCCGTGTGTTGCGGGCGAGGCGGCTGGCGGGTAAAAGGCAGTAGCGCTCACTGCTCAGGTCCTGCGAGTTCGGACAACATTCCTCCTGCGTGTATGCGTAGCGGAACGCGCACGCGCACTGCAGAGTTTGGCAGAGATCGGCGCGGGAGAACCGCGGCATGACGTGTTTTATCAACGGCGTTTAGATGTTTTTAGTTTTATTTATACCCGCGCGAACCCTGCGACGTTGCTACGGGCAGCGCGTGCGTGCGTGCGTTCGTGCAGCTGTGCGCGCACGCGTGTGTGATACGTGTTTTAGACGGTGCGTTTTTTTATTTGATACGAGGTATCTGATTGTCTTCTTTTAATGAGTGATATGCGGGTGGAGGCATATGCGGTTGCTTATCTTCCCAACAGCTAGCGGTCGGGTGGGTCGCTGACTGGCATGCTAGTCGGTCGTCATGACTACGCTTGTTCAACAGTGCTGCTGATCATCACAACAATGCGACCGCTTTCTTAATTAGCAGATGCCAAAGATTTGTTAGATAGGCAGAGAAATGAGTGCACATTAGAGTGAGAGAGTAAACACCATCAAAGAAAAAGATAAAGTGAGAGAGAGGACAAGATGTAGAGAGAGACGGCAAGAGATAGAGAAGAAGGGGGAGAAGAGAGAGTGAGAGGAAGAAAGAGAAAGGAGAGCAAGGCGAGAGCGCACGTGAGAGTGTGTGTGTGTGTGAGAGAGAGAGAGAGAGAGAGAGAGAAGAGATCAAGGAGAGAGCGCGCACGAGAAAGCAAGAGAGCGAGGAAAGCAAGGAGAGAGCGCGAGAGAAAGAGAGAGACAAGGTACAGAGTGATAAAGTGAAGTGTGAGAGAATCTGCATGTTTATATGTGCATGTTTCTGAGATAGATGGGGAGAGAGAGAGAGATATATGGATCTAGACAGCCTAGCCTTTTGCATTTAGAAGAACGTGAATGCTGAGGTGCTCAGCATATTATTGATTATCTTATTCTCCCTATCGATTATCAATTCGAATCTGATCATATCTTCATCTCGTCTTTGTAAATACAATCAAATTGATGGTTTCAGGCTTCAGTGACAGTGACGATAGAGTGCTGTTGGATAGTATTATCACAAATGTGGATCGTTTAATGGTGATTCATAATTAATTAATGATTGATTGACAGCCCACCAACGAATGCAGATAGTGCTAGGTCGCTGTCCCCGCATTGAGAGGTGATGATGATTTATATAGCGTACAAGTCCACGCGGTTTTAGTCTAGCGTAATTTTCGTAAGTTATTGTCAGTCAGCTAAGATGTAAATTATGTAACTTTATTATCTATGCTAATTATCTATTTGCTTAGAAGGGAGAGTGAGGTTTTGTATGATTATTTTTGTTATTATTGCGCATAGCCGATGTCAATATTTTACACGAGCCGAGAGGCCATTAGAGTATAATCTCTCGGGACAGCTTCCGGGAGTGTCTCTTCTTTCACGCGTGCGCACATGTGTTGAGCGTTGTTCTCACTCACTAGCCAATCATGGATGCGTGCATGCACAGTGTACATGCGTACCTTAATGCACAGTAGCCGTATCCTTGAAGCGTTTATATATATATGTGTGTGTGTTTGTGCGTGTGTGTGTGTGTGCGTGCGTGCGCGCGTGTGTGTGTGTATGTGTGTGTGCGTGCGTGTGTGTGTTACTCGTGCGTGCGTGTCTGGGGCTGCTTGTGTGTGGAGACAGAGCGAAAGAGAGAGAGAGGTGTACGATACATACGAAACCAGTGTGAAAGGTGTAGAGCAGGTGACGTTCCCCCTATGAGTTACGCAGATACATACATAAGTAATATCTTGAACATGTGCATTCTCTCAAATGTATGTGTGAATGCATGTGTTCATGTTAGTAAGCAGCCGATATCTCGCCATCCTGTTAGTATAGATTCTGTTCCTATAGATTCAGCGCCTTGTACTCGTCTGGCCGCTGTAGTATCATTATTGGTCGGCAGATGGCGCCATGTGTCGGTTGAGTGAGAAGGCGGCAGCAAACACGGCCTTTCTAGCACAGCGCGCGGTTTCAGTTTTGTACATAGCCGGCTCGCGTATGTTTTGAGAATGCTCTGTGGTCATCTAATGATTTTTTTAATGAACTACAAAGGAAAGCCTTTGGGTTTTAGGTAGTTTTTCTCTCTTTCAAAGTAACGACGATGACAACGTTTTGGGCCAAGTCTACTTCATTATTTTGTTGTCATGAATAAGTCTCCCCTGTTTGTTGCTCAGTCTGGTTTGTTTTACTTTTACGACATAATCAATATTACAGCATTGCCGTTTCTATGGGAACATGACAACGATCGACAGCTAAACTAGGTTTCTATAACCTAGTTTTTAACGTGAATGGCAGTCACGTCTGGGCGCATATACCTACGCAAACCGCCGTAAAAGTGTTTGTAACAAATACCCGAGTAGGCCTACAGTTAATATCGTTACCCCAAGTCTCATCTCGCCGTGGTGTGATCCGATTTGTTTCCCTGTCCCGGATAATCCCGGATTCTACCCCATGAGCCGTAATGGTCACGTGACGGCGGACGTCATACCCATATGCGATTACGTCACTGTGTGAACTGTGGGAGATAGACCGGGAATATCGATGGCCTGAATTGTAAATCTACGTGCAATATTCGTGAATGTATGCGTACATATACGCGTTTCTGTTCGCTGCGTGCGGGTGTAGGAAGTAACGGGAAGATATTTCATACCAAAGGAGAGCACATTTTATCGTCTATTTACTGTAATGATTTGTTATCGTTCGGGACAGGCTATTTGTCAGCCGATAGCAGCGATAATGTTGTTGTTTAGGAACGGAGGACGTGGGCGTGATTTCTTGATGCGTTGCGTAATTACGCCCACTATCGTCGAGTCATTGAATAAAATAAAATACTGGTAAACTGATATGTGTGTGTGTGTGCGTTGCTCGCTTTCGTACCGTTATTTACTGCCTTGAAAATTTCTTTCGTGAATACCCGGTCAAGTTCATTCATAAAGGCCTAGTCACACATACGCGACGCACGGCCCGCGCATTGAAAATTAATCACAAAATGGAAAATAAGATCAGTGCGTCGTTGTGCGCCCAAATTTTGTCAAGATTTTGGGAGAAGCTAGCGAGTTGACAACGAATGCACAGCGTGTTGCTAGCGCGCAGCGCGTATACAGGACGCATACAGAGCGCACGTGTTAAAAAATCCAACGAATGCACAGCGTGTTGCTAGCGCACGGAACGAATGGTCCGCGCATGCACCGCGCATTCAACACACAGCCAGCGAACGGTCAGGTCAGCGAACGAACAGGTAATGATCAGGGATATGGTGTTGTGAGGCACCCTCCACCCATAGAACATTGAGTGATACTTGGTCTCAAAGGCAAGGTGCCGCAGAGTGAGGGCAAGCTTCAGGCCAGGGTCGAGGGCCTCTCTGTAGGTTGTATTCTGCTTGGTGATCCTCGGACCCATTCTGGTTAGCAGCTCGTCGAACATCTCATGGGGCATCCGCATGAAGTTCTTGAAGGCTGCCTGGTCTTCGTTACGAAGTTCAACAAGTAGCTGGTCATACAGGCCAAACTGTCGTCGCCCGCCGGACCCAGAACCTCCGTTGACCTCTTTTCTTTCTCATTCTCATGATGACATGGACTTGGTAAAGTACCATGCAGTTCCATGAGGTTCTGCTGATGTTGGAGACGCCGACTAATCCTCTCGTCCACTCCTCGCTTTTCCCCGCTCGCAGCCTCGTCCGCGGCCATCCTCCATCTTTCTGAGGTGGTCTCTTCTAGACATTGATCAGCAGCGAACCTCTGCTTATCCACCCACCTGCAGGGTCGGAGCGCAGAAGTGAATTGCATGAGGAGTGGCGGGCGGACGCGAAATTGTTGTCTCAACAGTATAACATAGCTCAGACATTAGCGCCTTGCTGATAATGGCGCTGCCTTCGAGTTGCTTTGCCCTTTGACAAGAGAACACACACGCCATTATGAATAAATGTCTTGCCTTTGGGTTTATGCACCGCTAGATAAGCTACGTTTTCTGACTGTATTTCCTCCATGAAAAACGTATCTTATCCTCATTCAATATAACATATAATATCTCTATAATTTGCAATCTGCTTGCTTTCAGCAAAATGTGTTATTTTCATCTCAATCTTCAGATTATGAGAGGGTCTGGCCGCCGCTCTCGCTAATCATTTACATACGTACGTCCATGATTACAGCCTCACTCATACGTGCCTTCGTCGGCACGGAGGAAGGAGCGAGCGGCCTACGACAGTACTGTACTAGGCTACGACGGTACTTAGTACTGGGCACGACAGTACTAGAGCTATACGTACTCGCTACTTCGTTGACGCTGAGTAGCTAGTTTAGTACGAGTACTGTAGTATTCGTAGTAGTAGGCCTAAGTTGTTTAACCCTGAGGTCAGCTGAAGCGTAAACTAATCGACCACGGCAACGAACATAAACAGAAACTCGCAGCTATTAACTATAAGGCCTGGGACCCTCTCATAACTTAAGATTAAGATGAAAAATCAACACATTTGCACAAAATAATTGCAATTATAGTAATTATTATATGTTATAATAATGCCAGTATTAAATATGTGTCTTTTCATTGGGAAAATGACATCAGAAACAGGGCCGTAGTGGGCCGCCCACGGACAGCACGGCACTGCCGGCACTATTTTGAAGAAAAAAATTTCTTTGCAGGGAAACCAAGGAACAACATATTACACAGGACGGTTAAACCCGGGGGCCCGAGGGGCACTCACCCCACAGTTATCGTGGGTAGGTACTGTGGCCACTGCGACAGTCAAAATGGGGAGTGGAGGGGGCGCTCTGAAAGACTAAAACTCAGACCTCCGAAAAATGGAGTCTCTGGGAACTAACTTTTTTTGAATGTGGATGCCTCCTTGGACTGGCCTTAGCTTCGACAAGATGTGGGGTCTCCGGAACTGGATTTTCGTTGAAATTTGCAATGCATCATGGACACTGGAGAACAAAACCATGACCCAGAGAGCAGATGAACTCGGCGACGCACACGCACACGCACGCGCACACACACACACACACACACACACACACACACACACACACACACAGGCAACACACGCACGCACGCACACATACAACACACACACGTTGCATGCATGCCTTGACGGCCCGGCTTCAACGTATTCTGAAGTACGATCGACTGGAACGGAAATATTAAAAACTAGGGTCTCCGGAACGGCAAAAATGTAAGATCTGCATGGTAACTAAACTTAATGCTCTGGAACGAGATATTCTTAAAAATGCGATGCACTGGAACGGAAGTTTAGGGTTAGGGTTGAAAATGGGGGTCTCTCCCGCGGCACATACCTACCATGCAATATATATGGAGTGCCCCCCCCCGACCCAGCACGACCCAGTTAAGGCTCAACAGTGCAATGGTCATGCATGTGCACCGAGACATGTTAGACAAGGTAGATGAACAAAATGTAATTTCAGAATTTGTAAGTTGCTATCCAGGCAGAAAAGATAAAATTGGAGTAATAAAAAAATAAAATGACAAGTTATCTGACTGGACTATCTGGTATTACTATTAATACTGATCAATTAGAGGTGTTATATCAGTGCTCTAAGATTTGGAATGTGTATATAATATGACAATGTGCCTATTCAAATTCAAACTTACAGATGTACATAGTGAAAGTATAAATGCAGATTGAAAATAGGATTATTTTTCATAATTATGTACCTACTGATAGTATATACAATTTTGTAAATAATGTTTTATTAGTTATCATACTCATAATATATATTTTAGACATCAGCTTTAGCTACATTCCTCTTTAAAATTTACAAATTGACCTTTTAAAATGATAAGAATTGGTTGCTTTCAACATAGCCTGAAAATGCAGGAAATGCCATTTCCAGGCTCTACATTTCAAAAATGTTCTGGGGGAGAACCCTTAGACCCCCCCGCATCGGCTACATATTTCTGCAGTGGCACTTTTTGGGAGGCCACTACCAAAGATCGTAGAGTGCATAAGATAAACCACTCATGCGAAATCACGTGCAATGACGTGTAGTACGCAATGGAGCGCCACGTCCGCCATTTTAGGAAGCAAAACCCGCTCCGCGTCTGTTTGATACATAGAAATAATATGGATAACCATGGTTAATATATATATTATAATATA